AAGAATGACTAAAAATAGTGATAGACAGTATCTCCCACAGATTCAGGCTCAGGGTCCCACAGTTTAAAACAGTGGCAAACTATGGCCCCAGGCTGGCTGCTTGCTTTTTGTGAATAAAGTTTTATAGGAACTTAGCATGTTCATTCATTATAAGTATTATCTGTGGCTGCTTTCCTACTACAATGGCAGAGTTGAGTGGTTGCAGTAGAGACCACACGACCCACATGCCTAAATTATTTACTATGTAGCCCTTTACAAAAAAATTACCAAATCTTGCTTTAGAGGACCCCTTTCTGGTGCTTCTCTAGCCTGCCCTTTCACGCAGGACAAGAAGTCCATGGTCTAGAGGATGCGCTTACTCAGAACCCATGTCCTTGCATCTAGACACCCACATTTTCTGCTCAACAACTCCCACCCCATTTCTAGGGCCTTCCTTAAGTCTGTGCTGCCGAGGATGGGCCGTGACACCAGTGTGCTCACCCATAGGCCTGAGAGGTGTCAGAGAGACACCTGTATTCAGTGTTATGGATGTGTGGCCTTAGCTTTCCATCACTCTTGAGATGCAGGATGGAATATGGGACGGGAGGCTAACAGAACATATTTTATTTAGCAGTTCATAAGCTTGATTTAAAGCATTTAAATATTAAGACATATGGTATATCCCTCAAATTAGGGGTGGACAGCGTTTTGAAGTCTGGTCAGAAAAATTCAGGTATAGCATCCACTGCTTTTCCTTGGCCACACCCCAAAACAGGGGATGAGAATGTTGCTAGGACACAAGAAATACTAAAGTATTAACTCTTCTGAAGGAATCAGGATCAGAACTTCTAAAAGGTAAAACCCTTACTAGAAGAGAAGAAAATGAAACAAAAGGAGAAGAAATAATATTTGACCTGCTTTTATGTCTTAGAACTTGGTTTTTAAAAAAGTGGAATTACTTAAGTGTATGTGGAAATACATTTGTTTGTTTGACAATGTAGTCCTTCACTCTTCTTCTGCTTTATTGAGTACAGAAGTCACCTGGGGACCTTAATAAAATTCAGAGTTAGATTCAGCACGTCCGGGGGTGGGCCTGAATTCCACATGTCTAAAAGTTCAGTGATGCCCCAGGCTACCGTACTGGAGGCTGTGAGGTGTGAAAGAGCTAAGGGTACAGATGAAGAAATAGGCCATGACAATTCTAGACAGCCTTTCTAGCTCTGACTTAAATTATCAGATTTCCTTATGTCATAAAAGATGTTGGAGACTGGAGCACAAACTTTTACAAGCCCAAAGTTAAGAACACCATCCTCGTGTAGAGAGAGAGGACAGGTAAGTATTTACGTATTCGTGTTCAAACCACCTACTTACCATCCTGCCTGGAGCTCTCTCTCTCTCTCTCTTACTGAGTGCAATATGCATTGCTAATTTGGGGCTTCACTTTGCATGTGAATATTACCTCAAAGATGTTGAAGGCGTCAAGCGTCCGACAGGTATCAGTGATCTTGTGCCATTTCTTTTGCCTACATAAAAACCCCATATTTCCCTGAGTGTCTGGAGGGCAACGCTGAGTGCAGTGGGAATTGTGCACACAGACACCATCGCATTCACCTGGGAAGATAAAGGTATCAGCATCAGATGGAGAGGTCGGGACTCAGTGCTGCGCCGGGCCAATCACAAAGGTGCCAAAACATGAAGGCGCATAAATCCTGTGGGCATTGGGTGTCTTTTCTTTGTAAAGTAGAGGAAGAGTAGAGTAGATCGCTGACGGTCACATATTTTGGCAACAAACTACTATTGTTTCAAACAAAATCTTATCCTGAACACAACTGTATCAAATAGATAAAAGTAGAACTAGCCCAGCTGAAGTGAGAGGGACGGGGCCATGGTTCAGTCCACTAGGTCACTCTCACATCCCACGGGAACCCCCTAAGCACCTCCTCAGGCCCCAAGAGCTCCCTAGAATACAGTTTAGAGCCATTGTACCTGATATTCTCTAAGAAACTTTCCACCTCTGGAACTTTATAATGAGTTGTATCATCAATGCGTTCTCGCAGACCTGTTTCTAGCTAGTGCCCCAGTTGGAGTTGGCTCAATTTAAAGGATTTATAGCAAAGAAATCCCAAACCAAGATGGAGCAGAGGGTACAGGTTGGAGAGGGAAGCAGGGTCAAAGATACAATTTAATATGAGAAAAATAAAAAAGAAGTCTAAATGCAAGCCGTGCAGGAGTCTTGTCTGCCATGTCATAAGACAGGGCCGAGAATGGCCCTCTATTACAACAGGTGAATGGTGAAACTTCCATTTGATTAGTCACCACTGCCAACATACCGTGTGGCCTGGCGGACACCTTCTCCTTGCTTTTGCTGGCAGCCTAGAAAAGGAAAATCAAAATCCACGTCAAAATCAATTGTTGATACACCAGCCCAATGATTCACTTTAGTCACAGACTAACAAACACATTTGAATCATCTGTGATTCCAGGAAGCCACCAAAAGCTAAGACCATAAAGTATGGCCCATGCTCCTTTGTCCCCTTCAGCCTGGACAACTATTTCTCCTGCTGCTATCCAGCAGGAGCTCTCCTCCCCCTCCGGTAAGGATGGGCTACATTCTATCTAGGAAATACATCATGAGCAGAGGTGCATTTACCAAGAAGTTAATGAAGGTTAAGCTTAAGAATCCCTTGCTTTTACGGGCCCCTTCAAAGCACTGAGAGAGAATCTAGCAATGTGTTCACATGATTGTATGTTTTATTAAATTTTCAAAAGCAAAATAGTTGACCATCATCTGTTTGAACCTTCATTTTTTAGCACTCCAACTCCCCCTCCTTCACACTCTCTCTCATTTTGGAAAGCACTAGAGAGGCTGCAGCTATTTATAAAATATGGAAAAGTAGAAGCTGAATCTGGAACATATTCAGTTTGGATTTAATAGTACTTATATAGTTTGCAGTCATTCCCACATTACAGTGAGGACATCAACTTGCAAGTGGCATTAATTCTAGCAGTACTTACAACCAGTCACAGAACAAGAAAGTTCTAAGTGCCCTGATAGCTTGTAGGTCACATACGAAAGAAACTTGCTAGAGGTTTTCTTAAATTTGACAACAGTCCTATATATTTACATTGCATTTCTAACAATGAATTGAGAAGCTGAAGGATATTTTTCTAAACTAGGACAATAAAAAATGTCAATCAGCAATGCTAGAGAAAAGACTAATTTTTCTACACTCTCTGTAGAAAAAAAATTTACAAAATTGACATGCAAGTATGCAGCCAAAAATGTAGGAATAAAAATGTATATAGATCATTAATAAAAATAGTTCTGTTACTGAATTTACTACTGAATAATACTGAGTAATTATTGAATGTAACATTCTTCAGCACTTCTAAATTTGAAATTTGTTGTGATTTTTTTCTCATTCTAAGTAGATATTCACTCTTCTCTTAATTTTGTATTTCTAATTTTGTATTCTTTTTCTTTAAGAGGGGTTCCCCCAAAAACCTGCCTCCCCACTATCATGAGTATTCCCACCTCTCCTGTTTAGAAGCCCCTCTCTTTCCTACCCTTCCCTGAGAAGCAGTGTCACATCATATTCAAGAGGTATACTCTGGGAGCAGACTGCCTAGGTTCAAATCCCAACATTACCACTTGAGACCCTGGAAAAGTTCATCTGTCTGAGCCTCAGTTTCCTCATCTATAAAACAGGGTAGGAACTATGGTACTACAATTCTATGATACTTGTCTCAGATCAATTTTATGAGGAATAAATGAGATCATCTATAGAAAACACTTAGAACTGCACCTAGAATATTGTAAGTGGTCTTTAAAATTTAGCTATCATTATTATTCTCTAAAAATGGAGGTACTGAATATCTATTACATACAAAGCTCAAATTTTTCTCCTCCAAGAAGTCTTTCCTGATCCAATTGTAACTGATAAATCTTTTCCTCTCTGGCTCCCATAAGATTTATTATCCATATCACTAAACTGCTCATTCAATGCATGGCATATACTCACCTGACCTGCTATCTTGCTATCTAATCTTTTTTATATATGCATATTATCTTCTCAATTAAATTGTAAGTTCTTTAAGAACATGGATTGTATATTGTGCTTGTTTATATCCCCCTAAGTAGCTAGATTAGTGTCTTGTACATATGTATACATATATACATATGTACGTGTGTGTGTGTGTGTGTGTGTGTGTGTGTGTGTGTAAAGTAAGAGTGAGTCTGTTTGTGCACCAGAAGTTCGTCTTCTAGTGGCTGGAAGAAGCCTGGGTACAATTGCTCCAACTTACATTCCAAGATCTTAACCTTTGGGGAAGGAACTGGAAATTCAGTGACTCTACTGTGTGACTAACACTTGGAGTTCATTTTTCTTTATTCTTCACAATATTGTTTTTTTCTCTATATCATCAAGAAACAAAGCTGAATACTCCATTTAGTCTAACAAATGAGAATTAATGGAGAATCTGAATTGAACATTTGGGGTCTGTCCAAGGTGAAAAAAGTATCGCTGAGAATTCAAGAAATACAACAGCCTTCAAAGTACTGATATAAGATTACTTCTCTTCCACAATCAAGAGAATCAAGCCTTATTAAATACATAGAAGAGTTAAAAGCCTTCCACTAAACAAGAACACTAAAATAATATTTTTAGAGTTCTGAAAGACGTTATAGATTAACTAGTCCAACACCCTCACTTTACAGATAAGGAAAATGAGCCTTTGATAGATGAGGTGATTTGCACAAGACCATGCAGGGAGTTCCTCTTAGAGCTGGGACTAGAACTCAGCTCTCTTAACTCCTACAACATTGCTCTTTCCACAAGCCAAGTGGAGAAGACAGAGGAAGGTTATGGAAGTACAAGCATCTCAGCCCAACTTGAGAGGGCCATAGTCTCCTATACACCACAATAAAGTACAGAAAAGTGAATAACACTTGGCCCATTAAACAGAATCCAGTGAAGTCACATTATATTAATCAGAAATGTGGGCAGAAGGCCATGGTATGCTGTTTACAAAGATTTCTGGAAACTTCTTTCTTAGTGAAGGACTTGATTCACTTCTTTCCAATTAATTTGCCAAGACTCATCCATATACAACTCCCAATTGTTTCGTTTCTAGGGTGGCATCCAATACGGGCCACTTTAGCTTCAGATATCAACAATCTTCAACCTAATACTGTAAAAAAAAAAAAAAAACTTAAAAACCTGCCACCTGCTAAACCTGAAGAGCTGCCTGAGTGAGTAGGCAAGTCAGGAAAGGGTGGCATTCAGAAGCTCAGCATCCAGCAACTCGATTAATAAGAAGAAAAAGATGGAAAGTTCCTAGTAAAGTGATCCCCAACTTTCAAGAAAACAAAGCTAATCTTCAACGCTCCACCTACTCTCTAAATCCCATCTTATGAGAAAATGTGGATAAGAAAATGAAGGGAGGAAATCATAGCATGCTGTGGGGTTGGGATGACTCCTGGAAAAGGTCTTTCTGAGAGGGTCTCTAAACTCTCCCAGAAACTAGGCACCAGCTTAATGTTGGAGAGAGTCGTGGAGAAAATTCCCTTCCAAAGGCAAACTACTCAGATAGCAAATTAAATACTATTTGGAAACTCCTAGAATAAATTTCCAAAGCCATTCTTGTCTGAGGAGGCACATATTAAAATGGAAAGAAGAAACTGAGAACCTGAAGACAGGGGCCCTTTAGCTAAGTAGGTATGTGACCTCAAGCAGGTCACACCATGGACCTGTTTCCCAAATAACACAGTGAAGCTTCACCAGTTGACTTCAAAGCTTCCTTCCAGATTTTGTGGTTGAATAATAATATTCTCTTCTCAAGAAACTCAAAATATTTTTATGTACTCTCTCCCTCAGTGACCCTCCATACCTTATTTTAAATAAGTGACTAATAAGAAATTAAAATGACATATTGTACAAGGAAAAATATTCCAGAGAGAGCCATAGGGCTCACTGTCCTGCAAAATTTACAAACAGTACCTGCTACAAACCCATCCCAGTTAGTCCTTGATTAACTATCTAACTTGCACATTGCTCCTTCCAACCCATCCATAGTGTTCACTGTCAGATTATTCAAAAAAGATGCCATTTTGGGTGGGACAATGCTTCACTGTGCCAGACCATTCCTAGGTCCTGCCCACTAGATGCCACTAAATATCTCCCAGTCTTTGTGACACCCTCACCGCCCTCACATTTTCAAGTGCCCCTGAGGAAGTAGCACCGCCCTAGTTACAAGCAACTGAAAACTTCAAAGGATATGAAAAGAATTTATCACCCTTAGATCATTTGAGCCTCATTGCATCATAGGAACTTACAGAAAAAGTTGAGGGGAAAATAACTATAGGCTAAAATGGGTTTTGGTTACCTGTAGTTGCAATTTCTTCTGGCTAAACCATTCTACCACCG